CCGCGAGCCCTGCCTGCGCCTGCCCCCTCCCTCCCTGCCCTCCGCGGGGCTGCGTCCTGCTCCCGGCCGGCGCGCTCGCTTCGCGCGCGTAACCGCTCCGGAAAATCACCCTGCTCAAACAAGGAGGGGGCCACACACCTAGGAAACCTGAGCAGGGATTTAATCCGTGCAGGTTTGTGCCCGGGGAGAGCGGGGCGCCTGCCTGCGTCCAAGCCGGTCGCTGTCCTTCACCCAGCCACCAGGAAGCTGTACGCAGGGAGCGGACGCTGGGTAAGCCGATCTCCTCGCACGAAATCCCGTGGAAGAACATGGTCCCGATCCAGCGTTTCAGCTCCGCGCTGCGCGGAAGGGGAGTCTCCTCCTCCTAGCGTCAGGATGGGGACCCGCTCCGGCTCTGTGTCGCTGAGGGCCTGTGCTGCTCCGCCAGCCGCGGCCTGGCTGCCCCCAATCACCGCGCACCCGTCTGTCTCCTTGTCCGGGAGCACCCAGTACGGGTTTCCCGGGTGCTCTGCTATCACTCGGTCCTTCCGAGTTCCCCACTGCCCGGCCCAGCGCGGCAGGAGCGGTCGCGGTCCCGAGTGGGTTGGGCATGGAGGTCTCTGGGCCAGCCCAGCCCTCTCCTCCTGCGCTGCAGCATGCTGGTATGCTCATCCTCTCATCCTGCCCTGCCGTTAGCTCTCCTCGGAGGTGTTGTGGTGGGAAGCGGAGCAGTTCTCCAGGTTCTTTGTGATCCCCGGTGCCCCAGCTGAGCGCTCTTCAGCTTTGATTTTCTTTCTTCCTCTCAGTGACTTCTTTGATACTGCTAACAGGAAGATGACCACAGAGGTTAACCACAGAGTAATGTACGTAAGTGCACAGGGTCGGCATGGCCTAGTCCCAAAATACTGACTGCACAGGAGAAAGCAAGCTCAGCAAATGAAAGACAAAGAGAAACCCTCTCACATTTGTGAGGAAAAGGTATTTGGGGGAGGCTGTTGTGACCCTGAAAACAGAAACAACGTGTGAAGAAGCAGCAGACAGAGAAACCCGTTTGGGCACAGAAATGTACCTATGAGGTGCATCCCATTCTCAGATGAGTAGGATGCATTTTTTGGGGGGGGGTTTCTCCCCCTGCCAGAGCGGTGCGTAGTGTGGCACACGGTACACACTGCACCATGTGACAGGGGTTGTGCTTCTCCATTGCCCTGTCACTGCCACAGCCGCATCCAGCCCTAGCTCTGGACATCTCCATCCAGTCCTGGAGCCTGTACTCATGTGAGCTGGGCTACAAGTTGGGCTCGCTACAGTCCACACCAGCGCTGCTGCATATCTGCCCTGGGGAGGACAGTACAGCTTTCTCCTCATTGCTCTGACAGAGGCTTGTTTTATAGAGCAGTCCCTCTTCCTACCTGCGTGCGATCATGCTCACAGTGCTAGAAGGAATCTCAGAAGGCCAGGAAAAGAGCAAGGGGCACTGCTTCCTTGTTAAACAAGCTCCCTTTTGTGCTTAAGCAACACGTATATATATATATTTTCAATTGGTCAACACTGCCCTTTCTTTACTGGCTGTGCAAAGAAGGTTACTAGCAGGATGTTTCTGACAGGGCAGTATTTAAGGTTTTGACAAGCACGCTGTTTTATCCTTGCCCTTATCGGGAACAATTTTCTGCTTATTCACCTGTAGGAAACCGGGGTACAACACATTCCATTGTCAGCCAGGAAAAGCCTCTACAGCCGCACTGGAAAATCAACAGAGTTTGCGAGAAACTTTTCTGTGAATGTCAATAACTCACTGCTGGGAATTTGGCCCTCTCCAATCAGCACCTTTCCAGACTGGCTGAACAAACACGAGGGAGTTATACCTGTTAGCTTAGGTGTTCAGGAGCGCTCTCTGAGCCACTGTCGCCTAGGCTCACCTGGCTAACCATTAGCAGGGGGCTCCTCTGGTTGGAGATACACCCGTTGCCAAAACACGGCGCAGCATGTCTTATCGCAGGCAGCCGAAAGACTCAACAGTATCACCTTGGGCAAACATTTGTTTGCAGCGTGCAATTCATTTGGCGGAAGAGCACCCGCCTCTCTGTGGGAAGGGAAAGCGCTGGGTGCCTTCGGGTATTTCTTTTAAAAGGAGCCCCTCAGGAAGCAGCAGAAGTTGTAGCCCTGAGCTGATCCCATAAGGAGTTCCTCCTTCCTACCTTTTGTCAAGGGATCCTGTGCTCTTTTTCTCTTCTTTAGCAGCGCATCAGCTCTGTCTTTGGTGCAAAAATATTCTCCTTCAGCTTGGGCTTCTTGTGGGATGTTGTGTTCATATGGAACAGTGACCTACACCAATGGGAAGACCAGTCAGTCCACAAATTACTCTGCGTTCCAGGGAGCTGATGGCTGGGATGGATTGCCATATCCCTGTGACAAATGTTGGCATTCAAAAACCCTCTTGACTCTATCTGGAAAGAATAATATTTCTATCCCTTGTTAACAAGCTGGGTAGCAATGTGGAAAAGGGGTTTGGCATCTCATGTAGGAAGAACTGTCATCTCTGTCACCAGTGAGTCCAGGCAGGTGGGCATTTGTCGTATCTCATTGCCTCCCAGAACAGGAATCCCCAGAGTGAAAGTGTCGCCAGACCCAAGGCAGTCGAAGTTAATGGACTAAGAAAAGCAAACAAACCTCGCTGTCCGTTGTGTTGGGCTCATCAGAGTCCTGCTTCCCAGACTCAACATCCTCATCGTCTAAGGAAATACAAAAAGAAGGTTTTTTTTTGGCTGGTATGGGGCCTGACAAACTCATGAGCATGGAAAGAGCCCCAGGCCCAGGCTCTGACAGCAGAGAGCCTTCATTAGCAGGCATCTGCATTAATGACACTTCGAAAGTACAAAGACGTGCTGGGACAGTCCAGAAACAAAGCCATGTCTCTGACACGCCCTGGCTGCCTGGGGCAGGAGCCAGCACGGCTAGCAGAAAGGACCGGAGGGCCCTGGAGAGCCTGCCCGGGGCTGTACACAAGTGAAGCAGAAAACAAATTCAGCCATAAACTGTATTGTGAAGCAGAACTACTCCGAGCTATACGAATTGAAATGAATGTTTATAGGAGGGCCAAGAAAGGTGTCTGGGGAACCAGCTTCCAATAAAACCGCATCCTTAGGACTTTGCTACAACAAGGTCACAAACACTGCTCCAAAGTCAATGGCCATGTGCAAGCCATGACAACTGGGGCATTAAAATCGCAAACTCTGCCTTCCCGCTTGAGGCACAGGCAGTGAGAAGCATGGCTAGAGAAAGAAGCCAGAATGGAAGTTCCCAAAGTTTCTTCCTGGTCACGGTTTGTGGCTCTTAGTAAGGAGCTTGTGTTGAGGAGGAGAGGAAGGAAAGGCAGGCAATTTGTTTCCCTGCTCAGCAAAAGGATTTTGCTCTACACAGGCCCTGAGGCTACACAATGGCAGACACGTACCTGCGCGCACCGGACACGCACCTAATCTTTGCACAGAGCGCGGCTGGCACAGGCTGGGGACCGACCCCTGCCAGCTGTGGGCACCATTGCCTGGTCTGTACACCCCGTGTGCACCCACAACAGCACACCCGTGTCAGCCAGGGCACCAGAGGCACAGTGGTGCAGAAGGGTGGAGGGGAGGTGGCAGGAGGGCAGAAGGGGCTGGGCATGGGGCTGTGCTCTCCTACAGCATTGCTCCCTTGTGCTCACCACACCAAGGGCTGGGGGTAAATCTGCCCCAGAGTTGTTGGTAGCGCAGCCTCCCCCAAGAAAAGCTCTTGCCCAGGTGAGCAGGTTTTGGACACTCCTGGAGCCCTTGTAGCCTGCTCCTGTCCTCACTTTATCCTTCCCGGGGTTAAGGTTCACTAGAAAGTGAGAAAGTATTTGTGTATTGTTTCCTGGGCTTTGTGTCAACCTTCAAGTGAGAACTAAAGAAAGTCCTGTATTTTCCCACGCCCAGAATGTAATCGGTTGAAATTCTTCTGCCATGATGATATCTCCTTAACGTGTAAGTCACAGAGGACTCCCCTTTTTCTTCCACTGTGCAAAATTCTGCTCCGGAGAGTGTTCCCAAACCACTCCGACACGCCCAGACCAACTAATCTGGGCGAGCTCAACTTTCTGGCCAAGCCAGTAAGGCTGGTACTAAGAAGCTCTCAGGAGACGTGCTTCCCTCTGCACTCCTCATGGCTACTGCCTCGCACCCACCAGGGGCCACCTGCCTTCCATGTCCCACCTTGGTCCAGTCAGGGAAGAAGCCCCAAGTGTCCCCAGCTGAGGGCATGGTTTAGTCTGAGAAAGGAAAGGGTTTAACAATGGATGGAGCAGGGAAGATGGAAGAGCATGCACTGTCCTACCTCTTGGAGGTAACAGCATCCCTTGCTCCATGCTCAACCCTAATTGCTGCAGTCCTCTGTGCCAGCACAGGGCACACTTTGGAGAAAGGGGTCACAGACAGGGATGTTTTTTCTCTGTGCTAATTCTGCAAGCCTCTTGCCTTTACCCTGTCCCCAATAGGGACATTTCCAAGGTTCTCCTTTCCTGAGAGGGACCTGTCTATGGGGGTGATCCTGGATCAACAACATCATCTTGTGTTCATGGCTCACCGTAGAGTGAGCCTTGCCTGTAGATCAGTGCTAAGCCAGTCTCTTTAGCTCCTTGAGCCTCTGTACCCACCGAGCAGGTGAGCGTAGGGTGCAGGCTGCTCTGCAGGGATTGCAAGGTGAGGCTAGATCGGTGCCTCCAGAACTGCCAGGGCTGCTGCTTCCCTAGAGACTGAGCCTGATTTTTGGGCATCCCTAGGTGTGAAAATTGAGTACTTGGGGATAGAAATGTGAAACTCAGAGCTCCCAGGATGGCCCAAAAGTGCTGGGAGCCTGGTGTACCTGGGCCCCTGGAAGGGGGTTCCTTGCTATTTAGTAATTCCTTTGGTCAGTAGTAATTGCAGGTGTTTGCAAAGTCCAGCACAGAGAGTTTCCAGCTGTAAGGTGCCTTTACACAAAACAAAATGCATTTTTTGCTCATCTTCTCAAGTGTCACATTTGCCTGCGGCTTTTTACCTGGTTCTGCCTTCTGTGCATTGAGAGACAGTCTCATCCTGGTCTCCAGAAGGGCCTCAGGGTCACTCGACGTTGACTTGCTTGTGGGGTGGGCCCGTGAGAAAGAGAGCTGTAAGACAGAAAAGAGTGCAGCAGCCCTGTAAATGCCTGCCATTACCTTAGTTACTAGAAACGCTGCCTTCTTCTGGAGAAAAGGCCAGTCCCCGACCCCTATGCGCTGACTGTGACAACTGCAGGGACGAGCATCGCAGAGGCATTTCTCTCTAGCTGTGGCATGTTGCAGCAGAGCTCTGCAGGGACGTCGCACAGCCAGTTTGCACAGCGTTACTCTAACCTGGAAGAAAAATCTTTCGGATGTGAGTGGGGGAGTGAGTTGCCAGGCTATTTTCTGCGGAGGTGAAGAACAAGCGACCAGATGTCTGCAACTTTTATCATGTGCAAATATATCCATATTGGCTTCACATGCGACAAAGCCATCACGGGCCTTTTCAAAAGAGGACGTTAACGGTCATTGTAACCGTTAACGGTCATTGTAACCGTGCTGGGCACCCAGCGCCCAACAGTGAACTCCCTGGGGAGGGGAAGGGGACACAGTTGATGCCAGCGCAGGCTGTACTCACCACGGCTGCTTGCTCCTCCTCTTCTTCCTCCTCCTTGACACCGCCGGGCTGGCCCCTGTGCTGAGCTCGGGCAGCTTGGAGGCAGCGGTAGGAGAGGTGCGAGTCGTCCCGCTCTGCCCTGTGCCGTCGGCAGGAGCCCTGGGCTGCTGGAGCAGGGGGGGTCTCCCCAGGGCTGGGCCACCCGTGGCCCGCCTCCCGCAGCTCCGGGGAGCTGTGCCGGCCCCTCTCCCTGCCGCGACCCGAGTCCGACAGGTCCAGCGGCGCATCTGTGCCGTAGTCCCTCGCCGCCTCGGCCTTCTCTCTGAGCTCAGAGCCGTCCCTGCTTAGCCAAAGCTCTTTGTCGTCTTTCCCATCCACGGTGTCCTCCAGGAAGGAGCTTTCCTCTTTGCCTCCTGGCGTGACGCTCGGCCAGGGGGTCGGGGACCGCTCCTCGGGAGCGGGTTGCGGGTCGCCATCCGCCCTGGCGCGGAGGCCTTGCTGGCGCTGGTGAGCGAGGAAGTGCTGCAGCCACTCTCGGTGCTTGAGGAAGTGGAGTTTCCCCTCCAGATGCTGATCCCGCATGTAAACCACGGCGCCGGGGAGTTTGAAAATGGCTGCGCGATCTTCCCAGTCGTCGCACGACTTCACACTGCCTTCAGCGTCTTTGGCCCTGAGGAAATGGCTGGAGAAGCTGCCATCCCGGTCGGCAGAAGCACAGGTACTCGCCAGCCCCAGCTGGTGCAGGGAAAAATGCTTGCTGAGGAGGCAGAGCTGCTCTTTCCTGGCAGTCAGTTTTAGGTTTTCATAGGATGGAGCAACCTTGGGAGAGTCTGGCTTGCTTGCTGTTGCATAACTAAAACAAACAAACAAACAAACAAACAAACAAAAATTCCCATCACGTTTATTAGAGAGTTTTTGTATACTTTCCCATCTCCTGCAGGTGATGCCCTTGGTCTCCTCTGCTCTTTCTGTGCCCCACTGGCTGTTGTGGCTTCTGGCCCCTTGCGCTACGCTTGCTTTCGGGTGTTGTGCTGGGAAGCGCCTGCAGCTGGCAAGGAGGTCCCCGTCCCTGTGGTGGGTGCGGAGGTTAGATACCCAGCAGCAGTGCCGCTTGCACTGCTGTAAGCCGTTACCATCCCCTTGCCTCCAACAGCGTGTTCCTGTCCCTGGGCCACGCTAGTACAAGGGAGGGTGCAGGGTCAGTGGGGAGATACAGTGACAGCTCAGAGCAGCATTGCTGCTACTTGTCAAACTATACCATATAGCCAGAATCACCCAGAATTGCACCCATACCTGTTCTTGGTTTTTCTGAGTGGTTTGGTGGCCCTGAAGACCTCCAGGACAGTGTCACACCATTGATGAATAATCTGTCCTCCCCTAATCTCACCTACTGGGAGATTTTTACAGCCGTGGTCAGCACAGGAAGGTCAGCACAGTGAGCGAACCTGCAAACCATGCAAACTGAATCCTTGCTATTGCTTCTTTTTTGGCAACTTCCATGTGCATGAGCACTGGGAATGCATGGCAGAGCTACTCCCACTCTGGGAAACTCACTGTCTCTACGGGTGAACTTACTGGCTTTGCTTAGCACTCTGCTTCAGAAATCAATGGGAAGGATAAGCCCTGGAAAGTGCTGAGCACTGCAGAAAAGCCCATTAGAATAGATAAAGAGCAGCAGGGATTGCTGCCTCCTGCTTAAGTCATCTCCTTGTTCTTCTGCAGGCTGGAGATTGGAGCACCTGGTTCACTTTCTGGTTCTGCCTGAAGGAACTGAAATAACGAGAGACTGTTCTCGTAGGGCTGGATTCCAGTCATTTTTGCTGGTGTAAATTGGGAGAACCATCCCCCCCCATCCTAAGGCTGTGGGCAGTACAAGAAGTCTGGAGAAGAAGGTGGGCAGTGACAGCAAAAACTGGCCATCTCAGTCTGCTCAGTGAGATTTCCAGCCCAGCTTGCCAGACCCAGTATTTCAGCCTAATCTTCACGATTCACAGGGATGAGTGATAGTGGCCACGGGCTGACACGGTGCTGGGAAGATCTAGCTGGAAAGAAACCCCCTGCCGAACCACGTGAAACAAGAAAGAGGACAGTAACAGCCTTTTTGCTGACTGCCGTGGGCTGCGCACCAAGAACTGTGACAGGGTAACTCACGCCTCGAGGCTGGGGCTGTGCTCACGCTCCAGTGGGAGAGGAGTCTTTCTTGCTGGTGGGGACAGTGTGGCCCCTGGAGGACTTTTTTCCTGGAGGCATGGTCTCGAGCCAGGTCTCACCAAGGCAATAGTCCCATGCAGCTGGTTGGCGATCCTCTGGGATGTCTACACAACAGGGGGAAAGAGGCCATGTGAGCGTCAGAGCAAAGCCTAGAGAGCCTCACTGAACAGAGACAGGGCTCTTCACCAGCACAAACAGGAAAGACAGCTCCCAAGTCCTCTGTATGAAAGACTTCACAGCATCTTTTTTTATCAGTTTCTACCCCAGAAGTGATAAGAAGTAATTTGATATAATTCCAACCAAACAATATTTTTATTGGTTTTCCCAGGAAAGTTCCCCTTCATGTTTTCCAATGAGATCTACATTATTCTTTATTTCCGGATGCACTGATCTATAGCCCAGGAGGTCGTGTGCTTCCTCTCAGGTCAAGCCACGATTCAGTGGCTTATGCAAGATAAGACCCTGCAAATTTCCAGAGCTCTATTCAGGCCACTAAACTTCATTCATGTGAGCTCCTACCATACCTTTATTTAACAGGTGTATTTCCAGTGGAGGCCCCAGCTGTGAGGCCAGGACATCATGATCTTTATCTACTGTCATAAAAGGCTCAGAACAAGTTCTGACTTGACTTTTTCTCTGCTTACTAGGAGATGTCACCAGCCTTTACTGTGATCCCCATTAATTATCCTCACAGCTTGCCTGCAGCCTTACCAAAACCCCTTTTCACCTGCTCTTTCAAGTTTTCTGTGGATTCAGGTAGGTGAATTCTGTTCCAAAACAGAAACATCTGTGTGGGTGTGCATGTGGGCTTGAGTTTCCACAGCGAGGAACAGGGCTGCAGATCCTGAAGTTTCAGGGCCCAGTGCCCAATATCTCCAAATTTCTCTGTGTCCCTCATGCTGTCTGTGTTTCAAAGGCATGGCAGGCTCAATGCACAAAATGGCATCCACTAAGCACCAGTCTCTCTGAAAATATGCACAACTCTGCTATGGCTGCATGGGCATCCCAATATTCCTTATGCTGCAGATTGAGAGAAATCCAAGATGCTTATGGGCAGGGTTGCTGTGGTGTATTTGTACTCTATGCTCAAAAGCACCCACAGTTTGTGTGTTCTCCAGGTTTTTCCATTTTTCACAGTGCCCCAGCTTCTCGTCCCCCCAGATAATGGAGAGTTGACTCTGTAACTCAAGATAAGCTACACCAAAATGTGGGCTTGCATGATCGCCTAAGGTTTGTCGCTCCTGAGAGGCTTCCCTAACAAGACATCCAAGTGGGGAACCAGTGTGATGGGCAGAAGACTCAAGGATGCTAGACGTACTGTGGATCTGTCAAGAAGTATAGACACGGGAACAAACCAGAGACGTGCACTCTTGCAGCGGGGGACAAGAACTGTGAATGCCTTTCTTATAGCTTGTGGCAATTTCTGCAGAACGGTTGTATCTGGCAATAGGCAGGGTCTCAGCTCTGGCAAAGGCATACTGCCCAATTCTTTCACCCTCTAGGTGCTTCTTGGTCATTCACGTTCCTGTTCCACCCTCCTTGATCCGGTAAAGATGGCCAAAGTGGTGGGGAAAAGGCCTGAAAACATTAGGCAAGCTCTGGCAACTCTCACCATTTCCGTGAGGCTGGTTTCTTGGAGCACACTGCTTGGGGAAGTCCTACTGCTTGGAGAACTTCTCTGTCCTGCAGACTTTTCTGCAAACAAAGACACAATCAGCCAGCATGATGGCCCTGCAGGGTGGCTCCAGGCTGCTCTGCATTCCTCTCCCATGTGCTGGAGTCTCACAGCCTATTGACAACTATAGTGTGGAAAACTAGCACACCACAGCTGGGAGGACTTGGCAGGCACCAAGCACTTTCTATTGAAGATTTCTCACCAAAGTTGGGCCAAGATTTCTGTCTGGCTCAAGCTAGCACCAGAATTAATGTACCCTCTGTTGCGCATGTGTCTAACAGCAAGGCAAACACATAGTCTCTGCACCAAAAGGGTAGTGGGTCCACTCTTGCATGGCACTTTTCTTACAGTGATGGTACCCAGACATCTCCAGGGACTGTTTACTCTAAAGCAGAGCAGCATGTTTATACCTTGACATGCAGTTTCCCTCACAGCAGCTATTTTGGCTACAGCAATATCTATCTGGGCTTCCAACAACTTGATCTCTGCTCCCCAGGCCCTTTCCCAGAGCAGCTTTGCGCTATGGCTCAGTCATTTTTCCCTTCCCCAATCCCTTCAGGTGTGGCTGGAGCCAGCAGTGCTCACCTTCTCCCAGCTCAAGGCCTGGCATGTCGTGGTGTGCCTCTTCTGCCCCTCTCTGAGCTGCTTTGTCGGTGCTGGGGGTTCTGCTTGCTGGGGACAGTAAAGCCAAGGGGGAATGGGGGGTGGAGCAGCTTTCTCTGGAGATGACTCCCGGGTACTTTGTCCTGTCCCTGTTGAAAGGAGAAGGACACGAATGAGAAGAGGCAGGAGGAGGTGGTCACCAGTTTGAGACCCACTAAACTGTGAGCTCTGCGTTATAGAGCCCTATGCATATATGGATATGGACACACTGGATCCCCAGACCCACCTTCTTCCATTTCAGCTTATCATTGGTTCAGCTGCAGTCAGGAACATGGGACAGAGCCAGCCCAATAGCTTAAGGTCTGATTTCCCCACTTGGCTGTGGGTCACATTGCAGGAAGCCACGATGTTGAGTAAGCCAAAACCCAACTCTGGCTATTGCAAAAGCTCTATGAGAAACTGTCCATCTCCGGCTGGGATTTCAGCCTGATGGAGTGGGGTGGATTCAGCATATGGATTTAGGGGCTGTCCTCCTTTACCATTGCCAGCTAGTGGGACCGATGCTCTCGGTCACTATGAGGGAATTGCCGTGAGGCTCAAAGCTCTGCACCTATGTCCAGCCCTCTCCGGACCCTGATGCTGAGAGCCAAGTGTTTAGTTGAAAATATCGCTGTTGAGCAGCGCAGGGAAGAGCAGAGCAGGAACAGTCAGGGCTCAGTGAACCCCATCAGCTCTAGCGCTAGGAAACTCCTCAGGCCTCGGAAAGCATCAGGACGTAAAAGTGAGAGTTTCTCTTTAAACGGATGGAACTTTCTGAGCTCCAAAGAAAACACATTTCTAAACTAATCCCTTAGTGCTAATTCCTCTGGACTTTAAACCCTTGAGGAATGAGCTGATTTGTATATATTGGCTAGCCTGACAGGTTACTTGGCTTTCACCACAGCACTCTGCTGAGATATTAACCTGTTGGAGCAAATCACTTCTCCCTCTTAACCTCGGCTCGGTCCTTTCTTTGCTTATAGCTCTTCTTCCCACACAAAATGCAATCTATTTCCTGCAAACCTGCTCTACTGACTTGGGAGTCTGCCTTTCCACTGGAGTCGCGCACATGTGCAGAGCCCTTGTGACTTTGCAAAGAGATGTTAGGTCTTGCTGGGGGTCTCTTCTGATTCATGCAGCCTGGCTGCTGCAGGAGGGGAGCTGTTGACATGGAAAAGCTGTGAGATCCTATGGTGAAGAGTGTGGCCGAGGCAAATAGCCCCTGATTTTACTTGCCATGATAGTCTGCCATAGGTGTCTGTTGAATACCCTCTCCTCCCCAGGAGACGTGGGAGTCAGGATGTATTGCTAGCCAGGAAAAAAGATACTTTCTCCCTTTCCCTCATGATGCAATCACTGTTCAGTAGAAGAACTGGACTAATAGGAAATGTAGGACCAGAAAACGCCCACAGCTTTCCCGTACACCCCTCCCCTTCTCATCTCACTATGTCCTGCTTCAGCCATGCCTTGCTCCAAGGAAGCTGAAGATTATTAAATCCTTGGATGCAGGTGATCAGGGGATTGAGCAAAGGTCAAAAGATATTTAGATCATTTCGTGTATTTTGGTGTCCATCTTCTACTGGAACATATGGGAATTAGACACCAGAATACCTCTGAGGATGCTGTGGTCTGGATGTGGCCCTGTTCAGCTGCAGGGAAGCCTCTGGCCAGACCAACACCCCACCTAATGAATGAAACCCAGAAGAGTGCTTACTCCAGGCTCCGGAGCCTCTTCAGGTCTTCCTTGAGAGTTTTGTTTTCTTCCTTCAGGCGATTCATTTCATTAGCTGCAAAGAGAGGCGAAGGGTGCAGTGGGTTAAGGTGCTGCTAGGAGAGATGCTCGAGCTCCTTGTAGTTTGCTGGGGTACCTGTATTGGGGAGGAGGGGGGACCACACCGCATTTTGAAGGGGTAATGGCTTTCCTTCCTTCTCTGAAAACGCATTGAGTGCTAAGGATAAAAGGGAGCAACTTTCTGATTCAAACTCGGCCAGGGCTGGAGGTCCGTTAGAGCCTACTTGGCTCCCGGGGAGAGGGTGACCAAGACGGGGCGACCACTGAAGGCCACAGCACAGCAGGAGCGATGCAGCCAGCATCGTGCCCGTGAGCGCACCTTTCCTCCTCCGATCAGCGGGCGCTGCATTACGGCTAGCAACCCTTCAGAGAGCGAGAGTGACAGCATGACAGGGGGGATAAACCAAGGGCTGCTGGCACCTCTCCGTCCCTCCTCATCCCTTTTCTCTTTCACCCCCACTGCCCTCCCTGGGCCAGTCAGATACACGGAGGAAAAAACACCCTGGGCTTGAGCAGTGCTGGGAGTTCTGCCAGCGGCTCGGGAGAGGATCCATCATACGTGTTGCTTGATTTCCATCTACCCGTGCTGAGCTGCTGCTGTGAATTTCCTGTCTTTTCCAGGGTGTTGCTTCTGCTGTGCCAAAGGCATCTTTCTCCAGGCAGCTGACATCGCCTGGCCGGGGAGCCCCAGCTGCAGCCGAGCCCGGGGCTATCAGCCTGGCCCCGCCCCCCTCTTT